TATATATATATATATATATATATATATATATATATATATATATTATATATATATATATATTATATATATGTATGTAATATATATATGTGTAATATATATATGTGTAATATATATATGTGTAATATATATATGTGTAATATATATATGTGTAATATATATATATATATATATATATATATATATATATATATATATATATATGTGTGTGTGTGTGTGTGTGTGTGTGTGTGTGTGTGTGTGTGTGTGTGTGTGTGTGTGTATACATATAAATAAATAAAATTATATATATATATATATATATATATATATATATATATATATATATATATATTTCATTTATATATGTTATATGTCTGTATGTATATATATACATCTAACTAGCCATCTCTCTCTCTCTCTCTTTCTCTCTCTCTCTTTCTCTCACTCTCTTTCTCTCACTCTCTTTCTCTCACTCTCTCTCTCTCTCTCTCTCTCTCTCTCTCTCTCTCTCTCTCTCTCTCTCTCTCTCTCTCTCTCTCTCTCTCTCTCTCTCTCCGCATTCTCTTATTCGCCCCGCTCTACGTGCAGTAGTGTACCGACCCCGATAGTGCGAACAACAACATACCATCACCTTACCACTGCCTCCAACCGCCAGGCGCAGACACCAATAATCGAAAATAAGAGAAGAAAAGAAAAAAAAAGAAATGAAGGAGAAAAAAAAATGCGGTTATGGTAGCAGGGGAGGGGAGAGTGAGTGAGAGGGAGGGTGGAATTGAGGGAGAGAGGGAGGGAGGGAGGGAGGGAGGGAGGGAGGGAGGGAGGGAGGGAGAGAGAGAGAGAGAGAGAGGGAGAGAGAGGGAGAGAGGGAGAGAGGGAGAGAGGAGAGAGAGAGAGAGAGAGAGAGAGAGAGAGAGAGAGAGAGAGAGAGAGAGAGAGAGAGAGAGAGAGAGAGAGAGAGAGAGACAGACAGAGAAAGAGATGTGTGAGTGTGCGTCCCCCGAGCTGCCATAGCAGGGGAGGTATGCATAGCAGCAAGGTAAGTGAGAGGAAAAAACGAAAGGGTGAGAGAGTGCGTGCGTGCATGCGTGCGTGCGTGCGTGCGGGGCCAAAGAGCACGGACGGACAACGAAAGAAAGACGGTCGCTATGTTATCCTTTGTGGAATAACCTTGTTTAATAGCGGCGCTCGCTCACCCACCCTCGCTACCCGGAAAGAGGGAGGGAGGGAGGGGGAGAGAGAGAGAGAGAGAGAGAGAGAGAGAGAGAGAGAGAGAGAGAGAGAGAGAGAGAGAGAGAGAGAGAGAGAGAGAGAGAGCGATCGAGCGGTGAGAGAAAGAGAGAGGAAGAGGAGAGAGAGAAAGAGAGAGAGAGAGAGAGAGAGAGAGAGAGAGAGAGAGAGAGAATGAGAGAGAGAGAGAGAGAGAGAGAGAGAGAGAGAGAGAGAGAGAGAGAGAGAGAGAGAGAGAGAGAGAGAGAGAGAGAGAGAGAGAGAGTGAGTTCAAATGTCCCGATACTTATATCATCTTAAGAAAAGTAGGTAAACCTTTTTAAATAAAAAAATAAAATAAAAATAAATAAATATATAAATAAATAAATACATATATATCCTCAAACGTAAGTAACTATAAAAAAAAGCAAGAACCCCAGCATCCCAGCATCCCGGCATCCCTGCCAGGCCATCTTTTTTAATATATATCCACGACACGAAATTTGCAGATCAATAAGGAACAATGCATACCGGGGAGAGGCTGCGGTTCGTTATACCGGGGTCGAGCGCGGAATGAGGCGTGTCCCCGGGCGGTGCAACCATGCTACTTCTTGCAGGTAATTTGCCATCTTTTGAGAATTACTAAAGAACTTTTTGTCTGTTTTTTTTTTTTACTGTTTTTGTTTTTGTTTTATTTTGTTTATTTGTTTTTTTTGGGGGGGAGGAGGGTGGGGGGGTGTAATTCCTTTGGTTAATTGTAGAGTTGGTAAGGAAAAAAAAGAGGGGGGGGGAATCAGTTCGTTTATTTGTCGTGTTTTGAGAATACTTTCGGGTAATCTGCTACGTCACTTGGATAATTTCACATCAGTGCGACTAGACTAAGATTCCTCCCCCATAAAATAAAATCGATTAAAACAAAATATCTTTATGAAAAAAAACTACTAAATTATGATTTCTTTTTTCTTTTTTTTTCTAATATTGCCCCCCCCCCCCCTCTTCCCATCTGCACCAAATAACCTTAACCAAAATCTTCCACTCACCCTCCTCCTCTCCCCCCCCACTCCTCGACTCCCCCCACTCCCCGCACCCAACAAGATACACCAAATCTATCAAAATCAAAAACAACCAAAGTTCCAAACCAGCGTGTTGATTAATCACCCCCGAGATGTGGAGACACGCCCGTTAGCCTTTGCATGAGCGCCGATAATTCCCAAACTCTCCGAGCAGGATGCGTAAGTGTTCATGCTGGTAATTACTCATCAAACTACGTTATCATACTCGTTAATAATCGGTTATGAGACTGGTAAAGTTGCAA